CACTTAGTAAAAATTTAGCGAAACTAAAGGTTTTACCGTTTTGCCAAATCCAAAATGAGTTTAGATAAGCAACCTTACATACAATTAATTAGTCCTGGGTATATATATATATATATAATTATCGAAAACGCATACGCTGTCAGATTAAAATAAAGCCTTATTCTCACATGGTTAGCTACTCTAACACTCAAATAAAGACTTTATGCGATACTAAATTAACCACATTGAATTAAATATATACATATAGCCTAACTACCCTCCACACTGCTGTGGAAAAAATCCTGTGAGTGGGCTAATAGGATATTTAGTCTATTATGCTCTCTTCCTCAGAACGGTATCAGTCTGTATTATTCATCACACAAATAAATTTTCTTTTTACTTTTTTTAGAAAATATCATACCTCTGGTAAAATTTCGAGAAGAGTAATATGACGTGAGGAACCTCGATCATATTGATTCTTCACAAATGCCACAGCCTACTCAATAATACTTTTCAGCTCATTTTGAGATATCCAGAGATTATCTTTGATTCCTTGATAGATAATAGACCCAGCGGTAATGTCCTCTTTCTCAGCATTTAACAAAAAATTGTAAATTTTGATGTATAAATCGGCAGGCATGATAAAAATAAAAGAAGTTATAATACTATTCACTTCAATATACTGCTCTTTTAAATGATTCCATTCATGTCTTCTCTGAGTCTGAGTTCATGTTAGGCTCGAAGTAGAAGAATATGCAAATACACTGGATGCATGAACTTCGCTCATAATGCCCAATCTAATGGTTGTACTTTCAGAATTCAAATGAATAGAGTTTTTCAAGTAGATTTACTACCTAATTTACCTAACGTTAGTGGTAGAAGACTCAAGTATTCTTTGACTGAACTTTCTCGGTTGCTTTTTTACGCTAAAATTTGTGTTCGAGAATAAGGGTATGTGGAATGTGCATTGAAGATCTCAACATTTACAAAGGCGTCAGGGACAATACATATACAAACTTTTTTGCTCACCCGACCGCTTAATACTAAGTCCTGGTAACATATGTTCAGCTCAGAATATAATAAAAATAGCCCGTTTCTCTGAAGTAAATATACATATTAATAAACTCATTAATAAATGCTATTCAGATAGATAGGGAAAAGATTTGAAATATTTTGGAGATTGATTTCTTATGTGAGAAATTACTTTGTCGCACAAATAGTTACACAGACTTACAGCTATTTTGATAAGCAGTATCACTATTACATCATATACACTTTAATGAAGATCAAAAAATGTATTAATTTATGTTGTACAGGCTAACATGCATTGGTTGTGTGGCATTTCGCATGGCTGGACAATATATTATTTTATTAAGGATCTGGTCAAGGACTAATCTGGAAAATCTGACGCACAATTTTACAATTATCATTTAAATCTGTATAATTTACGATAATATCCTTCCCGTAAATATGATATATATATTTTAACGACAAATCGTATATAGGTTTTATTACTGATGATTTACTCTTATATGTCTCGTATTCTGAAATTCTGATGAAATATTCATAATTATATTTTTTATGAATACTATAATATCCAGGATTCTGTAGCCATTTTAATATGTCAAGCCAATATATACCTCTATTAACTATATAGCCTTACTGATATAATAATTTCTTAACAAGTATGTATGTTGCAAAAGATAATCATTGCCATAATTGGGCTCTCTTCTCATACATCCAATCATTTCTTACTGGATAACAATGTTTCTTATCCCTATAACAAATATATCCTGGTTGTCCTGATTCATTTTTTATACCTAAAAACTTCATATCGTCGGGAGTACCATCATTTCTCACCACCTTCCAAATTTGTTTTGCTAATGATTTGGATCTCTTGTAATTCCTATAAGCTTGTTGGATTAATGTTGCATAAAAATTTTTAAACTGATAATTATATTGTCTTACAATCAAGAATCCCCAAGAGCGCTTCATTGATTTTCTTGAACTTCTCAAAAAATACTTTACTAAAATAGTTATATATTAGAGAATCTAACCCAGAATAGACAGATCATATTTTTTATCCGGCAGGTAATACATTTCACAATTTCACTAGGTGATTATGTATGCAAATTATATAGCTATTCATTACGCAAAAAAAATAATGTATAAGTTATACATTGTGCCTTTGGCTAAATAATATTAATCTTCAGTTAGTCTATAATTAATAGTTAATCCAGTTAAATAATCGTGATTTTTATCCCATCTCTCAATATTAATGCCTGCTGATTAAAATGGTTTATAGATGGTAGTAAGTTATTTTGTTTTGCATACTGAGACGAGATAAATATTTCGCTTATATTACTCTCTTTTGATCTATCAAATTGCGGGAGGGAATCAGGTGTATTTTTTTCAGGATATAATATCCCCTCTAGTCAGAAGATTTTTCACGCAATATTTCTGACTTCGATCTTGTGAGAAGATAGGCTTCTATATGTTTATTAGTCTTAAAACATGAGTTATCCCAATGATGTTTCATAAAGTCTTCAGGCTTAATCTCATACCCATATCTCTGCCATCTACTGAAATGTCTTTTTTGGTTTTTCATTAGTGATCTTTACTAATTTTCAACAATCGAAGCAAATAGCCATTTTGCTATTGTGAATATTAGGTCTGTGATAACCAATAGCAACTTCTCTCACTTCGTAGTTATCATAATATGTCTTGGTTACTCCTTGTTCAGATGATCTGAAAAGGCAGAATACATGATAATAACTTTCATAACCTTCAGTAATCAATGCTTACAAAGCGTCTTTTACACGAATAGCCCATTGCTGTGGAGTTTCATGTGAATTAATAATAGATAAATTGTCATATATTTTTTCGACCTCAACCATCTTTTCGAATTGACCAGGATAAGGAAAACCATAACGGTTTCTAATATATTCTATATCATATCCAGGACGAAGATTGGTGGGTTTAGGCACAATTTTATTATAATCATTGTTTAAAACAATGTCAATACACTTATTAGGCCTTGGTCTATTAATATGAGTTCCTGACATATTAAACGATTTATAGCTAATTTATAGCAATTTTATAGTTTTTAGCTGATTTTAGTTGATTTAGCAATATTATATTCTAATAAATATCAGATTCATTTTTATAAGTGACTTTATCGATTTGTAGCCAATTTAGTGAGACTACATATTGCTAAACTTAAATTCATTTTTATTCGATTATAGGGATTTATATAGGGTCATATCTAGCCGGCTATGCTAATTTTATATTTACATGCATATGCACAGCACCTTCGGCTAAATCTGTTTGTGGCATGATGTTTAACGTATCACATGAGATCTCCCTAGTTCCACGACAGTTCCAGGAGCTGGCGGGTTTCGATAAATCACGAGATGATCGGCCCTTTTTTGAAGCATAGCTTCTGCAAAAGTTAATCTAACTATTTTTTATGGAATTATACATAGCATTGGCCGTAAGGCATTTCGCATACAGAATCATATTTATTTTCAGGTACATGTTAAAAAAACACTAGCCCGATGTGGGCGAAATTTATTATTATATTTCAGAGAATGTGACCGCGCGGTCACAACGTCACGTGAGTGGCGCAGTAAATTATTTCGAAAACTTGACCAAGATATGGTCTATATCATCCTGACTTAATTTTGATATTGACAACGCGGAAAAAGATTTAATCCTATAAATCTTATCTTCACCGATTTCATTGAATAGCTCAAAAATCTTTGTAGCCCTTTCCTTTCTCTTCCTAAGTGCGTCATCACTAACAGAATCAGGGAGCTGTTTTCGAACTTCTTTATTAACCAATGCCTGAGCTGTGCGCTTAGGATTCTCTTTCTTATATTCATTAAAACATTCATCAAGCGCTTTCCCGAAATTATAATATGATTTGATGACTTCTCGTTTTGCAATCTCCTCCTCCCCTTCCATATTAATGATTGTATTGTACAGATCAAAGAAATCCCCAGTTCCCTCTTCCATAACTTCGGAATCCTGAGATGTTTCAGAGGATAATTCTTCGATAAGTTTTTTTAGCATACCCGATACTTTCTTCTCACCTACCTTTTTCACTTTCTTGTTAGACAATTTTTCGGTTGATTCGCCTGAATCATTAGGTCGTTTTTTCAGCACATCACTCGAACCCGGGGTTCCCAAATCATTAGTTTCTATATCATCGGCTGAAGCATCATCTACAATCACAATGGGACTTGTCGCTTGATCCTGCATAGTGACTTGCTTCGATTGAGCCCCCTGTCCAGCACGAGAGTCACCTTCTACCAATCCTAGTCATGAGTTCCTCATCTTCCTGTCCAGTGTATGTTTGTTTTTTCTGAAGATGATATTTTCCAGAGGCGAGTACTGCTTCTTCTCTAGTCAGCTCAATGATTATATTACACGAAGGGCATGTAAGAGTAATAGGATCTGTTTCTGCTTGCATAATATAATTCTCAAGACATTGGCGGTGGAAAAGGTGTTCGCAACCCAACACAACGAATGATTGTAATCGGAATTTTAGGATTACTCTTTGGCAAATACCGCAAGGATTGAGTTTCGGAATTCTGCTGGGGATAGTTGAAATTTCTTGATTTCGAAGATAAATTAATGCAAGTACTTCGAGTTGGGGAGGCTCAGAAGTATCTGTTTGAATTTCAGAAGTGCTGGTCGAAGGTTCACTGGCTATAGTGGCGCTCGAAGGTTCACTAGCCATAGGGATGAATTGTAAAGAGTGAAGTGCGAAGTGTGAAGTAATTTCCCCATGTTCACTCCTACTTATATTACTTTCATCTCCGATCAAAGATTTTCAGGGCGATAAGTTAACACTTTTTTTGTTTCACATCCTCTATCTTGTTCCGCAAATATAGTAAGTATATTGTCTTTTTTTCGAATAATTATGAAAAATAAGGGCTAAAGTAAGAGGTAATATTAAGTTCGAAATTACTGAAATATCAATCTTGCAAGCAACGCACCTATCTTGTTTCCCATACACTAAGGATCCGAGGATCCGCCGTGATCGTTGCAAAACATGAATGTCCCTGGATCTTCGTTGACAATCCAACTTATCGAGCACGAATTAAGATTTCGTCCCTAAATGCTCTGCATTAGTGTGTGTACGATCAAACTATCAGCATAAAATAATTCTTATCAATTCGTTCATTACTACTCTGCTATCCATATGCGAAGAGTTAATCAAAGCAAGATTTTTATTTGCAATACATTGGATAAATTACAAATTAGCGACTTTGCTTATGATACAGTTGAAAGGCGCTGGTCTAAAGGGACCCGCTTCATACATGATAGACTATCCTATTCATTACGTCTATTCTATCCACCACCCAATAACCCGCTATATTCATTGTTTTTCATCCTAACCTCCGTTTCATCGGTCGTAACGTAACGAGAACCTTGGAAGGGAAACTATGTATTAGTTACCAGCTCTGAAGATGCCTCTCCTTGCAAATGCTCAGCCACAACAAAAGTATATTCCCACCTTAATTGCGTAATGTCTTGTCCAAGACCTTCGTCTCCAGTATTTTTCGCCATACTGCGATACGACGGTCCTATTTGCATATTTGTAACTTCGGAAGAAATGATATTAGTTTCGTAAAAATGATAAACCGAATTTTTTGTTAGAAAAAAAAGGTGTTGTCGCAACCCTGCTCATTTAATTTTTCAGAGGAACACTCAATAAATGAATGATTATTTTATTTTCAATTATATAAATAGCATTACATAATATCAAATGGTAAAAAATTTTATGGTTATGAGAATTTAGCGAAGAATGTGATTGAGGTGGAAGGTTATAAGCATACACTATATAAAAGAAACAAATAATAATCTTTCTTTAGGGAATAAAAAAAAGCATGTAAAATAAAGCTATGAGTACAGTTGATTTTTTATGAGGGTAATATTTTATAGGGGAAAGTATCTAATACACCATCCGCATTACAATATGACCACTGAATTTTGAAATACTCAAAAATAACGCCCAACGACAAAACTTCGTTTGTCGACCAAGATTGCGCATTGATTGTAATTTTGCCGTGTCCGTGAAAATTTTTTGATGCTGTGTGGTATAAACCACCTACACATCTTTTAACGTCATCAAACCTAAGATGATTTTCATGGCACGCTTTTTGTAAGTAGTTGGTAAAATTCTTATCTTGGGAAAGGCGTAATAACGTTTTATCCACTGGTTCTTCAAAAATAGAAGGGCTACGATTCAATAAAATCTATCACGGAAAGATGGAAAAGAAAATTTGAAAATTTGAAAACTGGATGACGAAAAACAGGCAAATGAGCACTGAAATCTTACCTTCGAACGAATGAATTCTAGTGCGCCTCTTATACTACCGGTATTTTCCAAGCGTAATATTGACTGACGGTATTCTTTAGCTTCCCATAGAGCTTTTTGGTTATCAGCTTCTTTCTTTTCCACTATCGCTTGCTTCTCAGCTTCTTTCTTTTCCACTATTGTTCGCTTCTCAGCCTCCTCTCTTTTAATTGTCTCGAACTTTTCATCTTCGTTCATTTTCATTACCCTTTCTACTGTTTTTAATTTATCAGCCTCCTTTATCTCCATTATCTTTAATATTATCTCGTACTTTTCAGCCTCCATCTTCTTTACAAGTTGAAAAATCTTATGTTTAATATTATTCTGAACACTTGGATTATCGTCAAGTTCGGTAAGGTCTATATAATTAGGTACACCTTCGGGTTCATGAATAATATTGTCCAAGAGCTTTGTCACATTATTTGATGTTGAAGGTTTAATGCTATTCTGAATGCTTGGGTCATCGTCAAGTTTGGTTAGGTCTATATAATTAGGTACGCATTCTTTCTCGTTGGGTTCATGAATAATATTATCCAAGAGCTTTGTTACATTATTTGATGTTAAAGGCTTAATACTATTCTGAACACTTAAGTTATAATAAGGTACGCCTTCTTTCTTGTTGGGTTCATGAATAATATTATTATTTGATATTGAAGGAGGCTCACTTTTCCTTTGCCTTTTTTCCCTTGGCTCTTGGTTCTCTTTATTATCCTTAAAATGTAATAAAAAATAGTTAGTGAAAGTGTTTCATTAGGTAGAAATAACAAACGTAAGTTTCCAAATAAGGAAGGATCGTAACCGATTCCTCCTCCAGAATCAGTAGACCTTATTTGAAAAACTTCATTGGTTGTATGTTTCTTTGTGGGCCAGAACGACCACACGATTGAATGGAATCACGGCTTGAGTGATCTCACAAATTGCAAGTATTGTGGGCCAGAACAACCATGTGGAACGAACGGAATTACCTTCGCAACATTGTTTATATATGATGAAACCTTTCACTGCACCACTAAACAAATTGTTCCAGTAATCTCACAAAGAAACCCAATGGAAAAGGAGCTTGCGAAAATATATCTACCTGAATCAGTTCTTCTTTTCTTCTTGTCTCTTCATGACTTCTTTTCTCACATCTCTGTTCACGTTGTTTTGTCTTTTTACGACGGATAATTGACGTTGACATTACAAAATAAAGATATTTGTGCTTTATAATTTAGAAGATATTTAAAAAAGAAGTATCCGACAAAGGAAGAGTAGAAATAAGTGAAATAGGTGAAATAAAAAGGAATGCAGAATCGCGTACGCGTAATTTATACTACCAATTAATGATGTTATGATCGCATCACGAAAATCTGATCAACGGCCTCTCCTTAATTTAATAATAAAAGAAATTAACACTATCCCAGTAAGCATAGCGGTCATGCAGCATGACCGCTATGCTATCCCAGTATCCATATGTAAAGATCATCAAGAGCCTTTTTAATAATCATGTACGTAAGAATTTTAGAAAAAATCATTTACTTGTTTTCGTGACACATTCTCTACTAAAATGTTTCTAATGTTACTGCGCATTTATTTATCAAGCTCTGGATTAGGGTGACCCATTTTCTGCTACGCTAAACTCAAATTATGCCTGCTTTATATCCCTTAGATTGTAGGGTTTTGCAGGCAAATTTGCCTGCTTATTTATTATAAATTCTCTTCTGATTTACTTTTATAAATAATTAATATTTTTAAAAAAATTTTTTTTTAAATTAATTATATAAA